TTAATAACAGACAGATGTAGCTGTTTGTGTCACATTTTAAATTTTCAAACTTAAAGGAGTTCCAAGCTACAGATAGAAATGACAAAAATGTTACAACCATCCCCGGTCTCCCCTATTTTTCTTTTTATTATATTTTGCCAAAACACTCTGTAGAGAACAGTAGCAGGGCGGTTTGAGCTTTCACAGAAAGGATATCTAGGTACCATAAAACACATGTTTAAATTATAACTGTGTCGGTAGGGCTGGGTACCAGTAGATATTTATTGATACTACTACTTTAAAGATGACGATACCTTAACAATACTTTTGTTGAAATTTATATTTTTTATTTAAAAGAGGATAACAAACTACTTAAAGGTGTTGTCTTATTGTTTATATTTTTATTATATTTATTATACTTTATTACATTTTTTTCTCAGCACAAACAGCAAAGCTACAGTGCAAACAATAAAGGCACAAAATGTAAATAAATGTAAAAGAACAGCCTTCATTAAAAGTTTTCTGCATGTCTCTTTCACCTCTGTCTCCGTGTCTGGTCAGATTTAAAAAGCATCCAAAAGCAATAACAATAAAATTTTAAGTATCAGGCGTGACATTAAAGCAGAAGCTTTGATGCTCCACCTGAGAGTAAACCTGTAAGGCTTGTCACCAGCATTCAGACATCAACTCTGTTTGCTTCACAGGACACAGGAAAAAATAAATAAACTAATAGCAGTAATAACCCTGCTGAACTGCATTTATAATGCTGGTAAACAGCAGGTAAGTTGGTTTTAAGTCCTGTTTCTGCTTTTATCAGCCTCCGTCCTCAGACTCCTCCAGTGTGTTGGAAGGTGATGGACTCTGGTTTAGGTTTTGCACTCAAAGACTTTCCATGTTTCAGCTCTCAAGATGATGCCCTGCACGACAAGCCGCTGCTTACTTTAGCTAAAAGCACCCAAACGACAGTTTTTTTTTTTTTTAGCATTTTCATCCACGAACTGCAGAGAAAAGTTGTTGATAAAAGACGTGTCTCCTCCACTTATGACGTAACTCGAGGTGTGACCCACGGTGGTACATTGGGACATCTTACTTTTTTTCTATTGGTGCCTACCGTACAGAGGTGTGGACTCGAGTCACATGACTTGGACTCGAGTCAGACTCAGGTCATTATTTTAATGACTTATAACGTGACTTGATAAAATCTAAAAAGACTTACGACTTGACTCGGACTTGAACACAATGACTTGCGACTTGAATCGACTTGCATCCGTTGACTTGATGATGACTTGGGCATATTTGATATTTTAGCACAAAAGTGGCACGACATGGACAAAAATCATGAATAATTCTTCGTTGTGGGTTTGATTTACTGCTGAATGCAGCAGCACTTTTTTTTTTTTTTTTTTTTTTTTACCGTGTCCTGTCTGGCTGTGAAGCAAGCAGAATTGATGTCTGAATGCTGGTGACAAGCCTTACAGATTTATTCTCAGGTGGAGCATCAAAGCGTTTGCTTTTAATGTCACGCCTGATACTTAAAACTTTATTGTTATTGTTGTTGAATGCTTTGTAATTCCGACCAGACACGGAGACAGAGGTGAAAGAGAAAGGAAAAGAAAAGGTGGGGAGAGAGGGGGGGGGGGGGGGGGGGTCCACAAAAATAAACAAAAATGAACAAGAGTCTGCTTCTAGACCTGCAGAAAAAGAGACAAAAAAAAACAAGGGGACACAAAAAAAAGGGACACAACAACAATACAACAAGATCTACCTATCACTGCGTCAACTTGATGAAAAGAAAAAAAAAATATATATATATAATCAACATTGCTTAACTGAAGAATCACGATGATAAATCACAACGCATTAAGTGCCCACCATAGTCTTAAGACCTGTGTTTAACGTGCTCAAGCCCATACTTTTGAGAGCACCATGTGAGCACCTGTGTGTGTACACGCGCTTGTTTATGTAAGGATTCTCTATAGGAGCGTCCAACAGAGAGTGTGAGGGACCACATATCCGCCCCCCCAAGATGCGCAGGACACGGGGGGAGCTCCAAGTCCCAGAGATCCAGGCGCTGCCCCAGAACGCAGGAACCCCAAGGAGACTGCAACCAGGAAGGCCCCCGCCCCCCTCGAGAGGCACAGAGGATCGCCCCGGGGGGCCACAACCAGCAGCCGGCAGAGTCCCTGGAGACATCAGCGGCAAGCCCACAGGCCCGCCCGCAGCCTCCCACCCCCTAGCCGGCCGAGCCCGGGACCCAGCGACCCGGGACCCAGGGGCGACCACCCCCGCCGGGGACCCAGCAGAGCCCAGGGACCCAGACCCCACCAGGCAGCCACCGGGATCTAACAGGCAGATGCCAAAATCTTAAACCCCCAGACCCGGTTGCCAAGAACACTCAGGCAGACCAAGGCACAAGCCCCCACACCAGGTGTGGCAGGGGGAGGGGGGACAGAGATCTATATTATCAAGAGAAGTTCCAGGAGAGGGGAGGACCCAAAGGCCTCACCTGACATATACAGTCATACACAAACACAGTCACACGCTCCCTCCCTCATGCTCACACATGCACATACAACCCAAGACTTACAAAATTGCACGCCGGACACCCACTCATGCTCCCCATACACACCCTATTCACTCTGGTTCCGGTACTGCTGCACATGGGGTACAACCATCACCGGTAACCAGAGTTTGACCCTTTCTGCTGGGGTGTTGATGAGCAGGCTCCCCCGCCCAACGCTGAGCACAGCAACCCACCACCCCAGACCCCAACCAGACGGCCAGATCTCCCTCCTAGCCTCCAGCCCCAGGAAGCCTAGCAACAACAGAGGTGGCTAAGACCCCTAGTCTCCCTCCGCCTGCTCCAATATAGTGTTGTGTGATCATGAGGTGTATTCCATGGCTGTGGTGAGTGGGCAGTGCGGGCATCATCCAGCATATGCCAGCTGATGCCACTGCACCACCCCACTTACACCCTCAGCCATCAGTGTCTAAGTGCGGTTTAAAATTGGAAGTGGGCACCGGCACTCGGGAGGAGGCTGAAATATCCCCCTGCCAAATGCCGTTGAATGTGCTCACTCCCAAGGCCCTAAGTGTGTGTTTGTGTGGAATGTCGTCAGTGGAAGTGTATAAGGTGCAAATAAAATTGGGGGGCAGGTTTCCACAGGCATTTGGAAATGGGGTCCATACCCGCACTCCCTGACTTGCCCACCCCCCAAGGTCCTATGTGTATGTTTGTGTGATGATGTGAGGGAGCAGGAGGAGAGAAATATGCGGGGATGGGGAGGAATGGCTGGTTGGGCTTAGCCCTCCAGGGAGCCAGCTCCCCTACTGGCCCCAATAGGCACCTCTGTTGTCAAACTGCCACCCAGGGCAGGAGACCCCAAACCATCCTGCCAGGGCCCAAAGCAGCAGCATTACAGAGCCTCACGGAGTCCGAGGGCACCAACCCAGCCCCACCCCAGCAGAATATCTATGCCCACCCCTGCATTTGCACAACTTCCTGGGCGGGTCTGGGTGGGGGCCTGGGGGCTCGGGGTATGGGGGTGGCCGGCCCCGTGTGGGGATATGGGCGGGGCCTTGGGGGTCGGGTCCTGACATGTATGCTGCCGGGAAGAAGGCAGGGACACCCAGCAGTGCCTGGCCCGGGTTCGGGGGCCTCAGGTAGACCTTGGCTCCTCTGCCGTTCCATCACAGGGGAGGGGGAGGTCCAGGAGGGGGAGGACCCAACCTTACCTGGATGTCCCATGTCTTATATATTCTGGAAGTTGTGCAGCAGCACTTTGTTTATGATCAGTTTCAGTTGCACTTCCTGCTTGTTTGAGCAAATAAATAAAGCTTTAAGAAACTTTATTTCTGGAATTTATTTATCATCATTGTCATTAAATAGAAGTTGGACAGATCAAATCAAACTTCATTTATAAAGCACTTAATCCTACAATGCATTTAACTCAAAGTGCTTAACAAATTAAAAAGGCCCCGCATACCCACATTCCCTCCCATCCCCAGAATTTTAAAAAGTCTGAGAATTAAAACCCTTCACAACACTCATCCTCCGACACACACACACACACACACACACACACACACACACACACACACACACACACACAAGTTTACCGTTCTGTATCTCTGCTGTAGCGCGGGAGCTGAATACATCACGTGTTCAGAGTATTTAGACCCGAGGCAGCGCTGCGTTCTCAATCATTGGTTCCACCCCTCTTTATTTATGTTACGTTATTTAATAAAAATTATTGTGGTTCACAAATTAAACTTTAGAGGAAAACAGTACGGAGAATTTACATACAGCACAAATTTTAAGACCCAGTGGGAACCCCGAGAAAGAACCCAGGAACTTGTTGATGCAAGACAACAGCGCTAACCACTACGCAGCCCAAGAACCTCCACCTGATTCTAAACGGAGCGCCGATGTCAGATTTCAGATTTATTGGCCAAGTAAAATTACATTTACAAGGAATTTGGCTTCGGTAGACGTTCGCTCTCTAAAACATACAACAACCACAATAAATGAGAATAAAAATACGTAAAAACACATAAGAACATGTGTACCCACACACATGTTCATTTACACACACACATATATACATACACACACACACACACGCACGCACGCACACACACACACACATATCCATAAGCATACTGAATAAGTATTAAAAACTATAATAAAAGGATGGTAAAATAATCTATAGATTCAGGAGAGAAATGGCTGAAGGAACGAAACTGTTCTTGTGTCTGGTAGTTTTTGTGTATAGCGATGTATAGCGTCTGCCAGATGGGAGGAGATGGAAGAGAGTAGATGCAGGATGTGTGGCATCTTGGACAATATTCACTGCCTTTTTCCTGGTCCTGCTGATGTACAGTTCCTAGACAGAGGGCAGTTGGGCACCAATGATTTTTCCTGCTGTTTTAATGGCAGCAGGAAGCTGCTGCAGGTGAATCATTGATGAGTTTCCAGTCAGAGAAAGGTGCAGCAGCTGAACTTTGACCCTTGAGCCACACTGTAAGACTGGTTTCAGAGCAACGACAGCCTTCAGACAGAGACGACTGATAACGGAGAGGAAGAGCAGGATCTTGTCTTCTTCTCCACAGACCTGCTTCAGACAGCATAGTGAAGACGCTGGTGGAAGAAGGTGAGTAAGCCCTACTTTGGTTCTTCCCAGTCTCCAAGTAGAGAGATGGAGTCTCCTGATGAGACCTGAGTCAGACCACATGAGCCTGTAGAGCAACGATCTGTGAGTGAGTGTTGGTGAGGAGCTGCAGCTTGTTCCGGCATCAGCTGAATCCCACTCTACACTTCACATCACACCTGCTGCTGTTTTCTCCTCCTCCTTTCGACTCTGACTGTTCAGAAACTGTTAACTCCTGTTTTTTCACAAACAGGAGCGTTCGTTTTACTCATGTTTAATGTGGTCGTGTATCTTCTTTAACTTTACACCAAAAGAACACCATAGAAATAATGAAAAGCATAAATCACGTACAAATAATTAACTATTGCTTTAAGTTTGCTTAAAATATAAAATGTATCAAGTAAAGAATAACCATACCACTTTGGCCTGCTAGTAGACAAACCAGTACACTAAATAACCAGTTCAATTATTTATATGAGAGCAAATAAAAAATAAACACTGGATGAATAAAGACTCCATGCTGTAGTTCTTTTTTAAAACACAGAACAGTTTTGTTTCCTGTTTTCCCGGTACGTTTCGTTTGCGGCTGCAAACTTCCTCAGGCTGACGCAAAATGCACTGATAAATGATAAAGCATTAAAGTCTTGAAAAATAATTAAATGATAAATGTGTTTGACTTAGCTCCTTCTAAAGTCCTGGAACCCCCCAAGGCACTTTACCTATTCACACACCTACACGTATTCACACACACATTCACACACTGGTGGGGATGAGCTGCCCTGGGGCGCACTGACAAGAAGCAATTAAATGTAAATAAATTACAATACATATAAGTGTTACAGGTTAAAATGTATATATTAGAAAATAGATGCTGTATAAGTAAAAGACTAAATAATAAAACACTGATAACAGATCTGAAAGATAAGTAAACTGGCTAAATTTACCACTGGCGGGTGCATGCGGGGTTCGGGGGCCACAAAGAAGGGGCCCGCGGGACAAGTCCCAACACTGAACCAGTTTCACGAAACTTAGCAAGCAGTTTGCTAACTGTAGCATGGGAAAAGGGTGGTCTTGTAGGGTGTCTTGCATTGAAATCTGCTGCAATGACCCGGTTACTGCGTTCACCAGATATCAACACAATTTCGATCCGCCCCTCATATGTTAACCTCTTCAGCTGTGAACAAAGAGAAACGTGTAAATAACTCATGAAAGAATAAAGTTACATTCAAACCAAGCACACCATTGTTTTTCTGGTGAAAATTTTCCAAAAGTTTGATCTGTCACATGACCCTCTTCCTGTTGAAAAAACAAAGTTGGATCCAAGATGGCCGATTTAAGCCACCATGGTCACCACCCCTCTTGAAAAGTTTGCCCCCTCATACATACTAATGTGTCACAAACAGGACGTTAATATCACCATTTTATTGAGGTGTGTCCATATAAATGGCCCATCCTGTAAGAACAGGTCAAAGTTGTCCTTTGTCCCGTTTGCTTTACGTTGTAATTCTTCTCTACATAAATGTGACTTCCTCTGTTATTTTTATAGTGACAGGTAAAGGATGCAAATATCATGTGGTGGATTAATAATCCACATTTTATTCTATTTTCTATTAAGTCAGTGAACACATTTTCTATTAAAGTTGCTCTATGTGATGTTATTCCAGCTGGTCTTGCTATCTGGGCAAACAGCTATGCTACTCATGCTACCAATAAAGTCATCTGGACCTTGTATTATTACTTGTAAGCAGCAAGTCAAGGTGAAAGTCCCACCTATAAAAATGTCCCGTTCTGATTCAGACTGATGAATAAGCTGACGTTCTGTTTCTACAGCTGACCATTCTAGTTTATTTCTATGATTTCAGCTGTTATGCATTAAATCACTTCATTATTAATAGTTGTCCTCCTTTCTACTCTTTTGTAGATTAGAGTTTTATCATTATAGAGTCCTCCCTTTTTTATTCATTCCATCTAAATTAAGGAACTCACTTCCATCTAGCGATGTGTATTGGAGAAATTCTGGCGATGCGATACGTATCACGATACAGGGGAGATGATATTGCGATATCCAGCTAGACAATAATAGCGGTTTTTAGACTGAATTTATTGTAGAAAAATTCAATAGTCTAAACTGATGCGTAACATGTTTAACATGAGGTATCTGAACCATAACAGAGGGATTTGCATTTCAGTGGTGGAAACAAAACCCATTGCACACTGCTGCCAACTAGTGGTTGGCATTTGAAGTGCACCAAAAGAAAAGAAAATACACAAATGTTTGCATGTAAATTATTCAAAAAAATTGATTCACATATTTTGAATTTTGATATAATGTTGCAGGAAAATAAATCACGATATATTGCCATTTTGATATTTTCTTACATCTATACTACCATCCATCCACTTCTGCTTATCTGGAGTCGAGTCGTGTGGGCAGCAGCCTAAGCAGGGAGGCCAAGACTTCCCTCTCTCCAGTCACCTTTTATGATTCAAGACCATGGTCTCAGATTATTTTTTCATTTAAATTTTAAAGGAGGTACAATGCTTCAGCTTATTTCCATCTACAGACCTCCTGTCAGGTTGGTGAGAAAGAAAGAAAAAAGAAAAAAAGAAAGAAAGAAAAAAAGAAGAAAAAAGAAAGAATGATAATGATAAATGACCCGCACTTGTATAGCGCCTCTCAGAGTAAGGACTCCAAAGCGCTTTACACTACAGTGTATCATTCATCCATTCACACACTGGTGGAGATGAGAGGCGAGGCTGCGAGAAAGAAAGAAAGAAAGAAAGAAAGAAAGAAAGAAAGAAAGAAAGAAAGAAAGAAAGAAAGAAAGAAAGAAAGAAAGAAAGAAAGAAACATTCAGTACTTTTTTTTGTTACTGTCATCATTCTATTAAATTGTTGTCTGGTGACATCCAACCGATGAGATGAAACAAAGAAGAGCCAATCAGTGGAGGAGCAGCTGATCTTTTTACAGCACAAATGATGTGAAGGACGATCAGAGTTGATGTGCAGATGAATGATGTGTGTTTCCTCTGCAGGTGAAGGTGTGACGTGTGTGTGAGCTGGTGTGACTTCAGCAGCATGGATCAGTGTGAGAACAGAGAGGAGGGAGTCCCTCCCTCTAAAACTGGTCTGTGTGGAGAACATGAGAGCCAGAGCAAAGCTCAGAGGTCAGATGATCATCTCTAACTGTCCACCACTCTTCTCAGTTTATTCAAGTAAAATATATATTTTTTCAATTTCTTAATGAGTTAAAGGCTTTATAATCTATTCTGTCTGTGTTTCAAACAATCTGAAATACTTTAATATTTTCTCAAATATAAACCTAAATAGGGTCAATCTGAGGGCCAGAGCAAAAAATGATCTTGCATCACAAAAATGATTGTGTCCAGCACCTGTCTTTGTGAGAATAAACAAAATTAATAAACAAAATAAGTCTAACTAAACAAACTCCACCATCTTCCTCACAAATGCTACCTGCTAAAGGATCATCCTCTCTTCAGATCACAAGCCTCTAAGTTAGAGTAAGCCTGGACCTGGACCAGAACCCAGCTGTGTGTCCTTTAAGAGATGGTCAATGGGACAGGTTATCAAATTCAACCAGCGTGTTCCCAGTGAGCAGCAGTGAGTGTGTCTCAGTCTCCAGGAGATGCTGGATTATATTAAAGAGAATGGTTTTCTGGTGAATCTCTCTGAGATGGAGCTTTTTCTCATTTCTCTCAGACTAAGTTGCTGCAATTTGTCTGTAACTAGTTTAAAACTTGTTGTTCAGAGAGAATAATTGTGAAAGCTGCTCCACTAATGTGAGTCTTTACAGGATGCTGATTTTGTAGTGAACAGGGCGGCTGATGACAGAATCCAGCAGGAACCAGAACCAGAACCATGTTCAGATCATCCATCAGATGGATTTTTTATCAAATAATGAACAGTCAGCTGAAGCTGGAGCTCCTTAGTGTCTCCATGGTAACAGAAACTCTCATCTGTCTCAGACTGACAGTTACAAACATACAGGATCAAATCTCCAGTGGAAAAAGCTAAGACCCTCCCCTAAAACTCTGACTTCCAGAGACAGAAGCACAACTCCATCACAACCATTTTCACCGTTAGATTCCCAACAACATCAGGACCAGTCTGTAGTTTTTGGTAGTTTTTGGTAGCAGTCCGGCTTCTGGTGACCTGTTTAAAGTCTGAATGGTGCATGGACATAGTTTTGACTTTAGAAGTGGGGTGAGGCGGGGACAACCGGCATGAGGACATTGGGGGGGGGGGGGGGGGGGGGGGGGGGGGTTAATCTTTACAGTAAGTATACAAAAAAGGTTCCCAGTGTAACCACCCCTAATCGGTTCTTCAAATGTGGCTAGCCTGAAAGCCCTCCCAGTCACCAAGGTTACACATGCTGGAGAACCAACCTGCTCTATGTCAGCTAGGATTACTGATGCTTTTTGAATATGATTGGATGAGTCATGTTATATAATCTTTTTCTTGTCGGTGGCTGGCAGCTACGCAATGGTAATTCAGCACCACCGCTGGCCTATAGTTGTAACAGCATTTGCAGTTGTGTTCTTTTCTAATGGGAAACAGGTTTCAATTCAGTTTATTTATAAATGCCACAAACGCCACACACACTCACAAACACACAGAAACACACCACACACACACACACACACACCACACACACACACACACACACACACACACACACACACACACACACACACACACGCACACAAACGCACACACACACACATACGCACTAACATACACACACACATGCACACACACATACGTGTGTATATGGTTTATGAAGCCACCGTGACTTTTTGATGGTTTATGAGGACACACCTTTCCCTGCATCTGGTGAACACGAAAAGTATGTCAAACATTTTATTTTACCCATAGAAGAAAAGTCTTACTTCAAAAATAAGAAAAACATATCAGAACAAACATACATTTCACTTATGAATTTTCACAGGCTTATGAGGACTTGACAACCTGGTGTTTTATGGAGACAATTAGGGTTTATGCGGTCTGTTTACAAAAATATACAATTCTGACAATTTCATGGCTTAAGGGGACATTTAAACATTATTAGACCTGCATACACATTTTTATATACCATTCAAAATATCAAGGAATCAAAGAGGAAATAGAGGTTTTTTGGGGGAGTCAAGGCCTCAGAAGCACCAGTAGTCAATCGAGCACTTGAGCCTGTGACCATTTAACTTGGAGAGAGATGGGTATATTCCAGTACAAACTTCAGAAATCTTTATTCAGAAGAGTGCATAGGTAAAGCTAATATTTCTACTAATGTTTCTGTTCAGAAACCTCAACCTCATGCTACCTAAATCTCAGTTTTTGTTTGTCTTAGATGTCCTATGTCCTGTCGGTGGTACATCACATGTAGGGGTGTCCTTCCACAATAGTATTTCCAGCACCTGCTTCTCTGTTTGCCATTGTCTGTGACATTCACTGAGCATGTCATCTGTAGAGGTCTTATCCTTGATGGTACTTAAAGATCTTGGCTGTTTCATCTTGGATCATAGCTCTCACACTAGCTAGTCCTCTGACCCCTTCCTTACTGCTAGCATACCGTTTTGGGGTGCTGGATTTGAGGTGGAATGGTCCATGCATGGTAAGGAGCTTTTGTGTCTTAACATCTGTGGTCTGTATTTTTTCTTTTGGCCAGCTCATTATTCCTGACAGATATCTGATTACTAGCAGGGCGTAGCTGTTTATTTCCCGAATCTTGTTCTTGCCCTTGAGCTGATTTCTATCTTGTTCTTGCCCTTGAGCTGATTTCTTAGGACTTGCCTTATTTGTTTTAAGTATTTGGTTGTGGCTTATTTCCTTGCAGCCTCATCGAGGTTGCCATTTGCTTGTTGGACACCAAGGAATTTGTAGCTGTCCTCAAGGTCTGATTTTGTTCCTTCTGGGAGTGAGACCCCTCCTGTATCTATTATCTTCCCTTCCTTTGTCAGGAATAGCTCCTTCATCACATTACAACATTCGACCACACTTCTCAAGTCCACATGACTTTCCAACATCAGTGTTGTAGATCCTGGTGGTGTGGAACAGTGAGTCAATGTCTCGCACGCTCTTGATATACAGTTTTATGTCATCTATGTAGAGGAGGTGGCTAATTGTGGTTCCATTTTTGAGTGAGTATCTCAGACTTATTTATGGGACAATAAATATATTTAAATGGTATCAGGATTGGATAGGATAGCTTGTTCATAGCTTGTTGTTTATAAAAGGCAAACCTTGTCAAGTTAACACTCAACACAGCTACAAGGATTAAACAAGAACGTCATACTGACATATTATGACCTTTTTTTGTAGAAGTTATTAAAGAGATGAATGCATGCAAGGGGTCCTGTGGCAAAATTAAGACTAGAATTACCAACAATTTGCAAACTTTTCTTTGAGAGGCTGTAACATCTATTGTGTTTAATTTTGGTGAAAATCAGTGTGTATGATGAAATTACAGCCAATTGTAAGGCCACGGCTTGCCATCAGATTTTGCCGTGCCACCACAACCCCATTCTCTCTTGAAATATCTCAGTACTGAATGCTGCATTACTCCAGCATGTCTTCTGTCATTGGGCAGTGTCCCATGTTGATTCTATATTAAGGGTCAGAGGTGGACCTTTTAGAGTAAAACAATATACTTCCTGTTGTCAGGGGTAGTGGTTTTGGTGATGGCAGGAAATGACACTGTCATTGTCTTGAGATTTGTGATGACACACACTAAGGTGGATATAGCTCTGATCATGTGTCTGCAAGTTAATAAACCAAGGACTTTAATATCAAAATCTCAATATTTGAGACTAAGCCCAAACTACACCATTAGTCCTTTTGAAAACTATTTGGACAACTTTTGATTCCCAATGGCTTATCAATTTTAGGTCATAGGCCTAAAGCCCTATGACAAGTTAGTTAAAATATAATATGTGTTAAAATGACAAAATAGCATCATCTGACCAAAATGACCAACTTCCTGTTGGTTTTGAAACATGGTTTCAAGAGACTTTTTCGTAAGTCTCAAGACACATCATGAGTGTACCAAATTTCATAATCCTCAGTTGAAGCACGACACAAAGCTGACTGTTGTGATGGTCCTAGGGAGCACTATATTAAAACTAGGCCATGCCTATGGAAAATTTATATAATTATCTGTCTGGGATTGGATTAGTGTAAATCACATTACATTTTGCACAGATGAGATGTGAAATTGAGGAAATTAAAGGCAAACGTAATTCCATGGTGTGATGCCTAAATTCGCCATACTCCTTAAGCCCCACCCTCTTTTCAAACCTACTAGACTCTACATATGTGTACCAAATTTCATAATCCTCAGTAAAAGCATGGCATGAGGCTGATAGTTTTAATCGGCCTAGGGGCGTGCTATGTTAAAGAAATAGGTCACACCCACTGACGTGGCAACGGGTCAATATTTTAGGCTTAGCCATGCCTACAAATTATACTTTTGAGAAAAAATGAGATTTTGCAATAAATATGCAAAATATTTACATATGAATTGTTTTAGAGCCTTTTTGTTGGCAGAATCTGATATAAATTTTAGCTCTTCACCTGGAATGGGTCCCAACGTGGTTTGTGTGGTGTTGCCAGAGAGTGACGTAGGGCTGGGCCATAAATCAGAACTGTATTGTTATCGAAATTTCTGACTGTTATCGAGATAATTTTTCCCATGTCAATAAATTTGATAATAAAAAAATGAAAATATGCGTGTAGGTTGGCAGCGTTCATGTCCCTTTGAGAAGCTGTACCACCTTGAGTCACGTGACTCAATGTAATACATGTGACAGCCCCATCTAGTGGACAACTTTTGTTTCTGCACATACCTGTAGTTATCGTCCATTTATCGTTATCGAGGTAATATCCTCAATATATCGTGATATTGATTTTAGGCCCTATCGCCCAGCCCTTGTGTGATGTCATAGGTAGGTCTCCAGTCCTCTTTTTTGGAATTGGAAATATGGTCACCCTATTCTAGTGTCATTTGTAGGGGATGCAGAAGAAACACATCAAATGTGTAGAAGGTTTCATGTGAAGAGTTTGACGCAAAACTTGTTTAAACAAATTCTACCTGGAAAAAAGAAGTGTCTGCGATCCCAGAAGTTCAGATGGTTGAAGAAGCAAATATTCTCTCTGTAGCATGTAGAAGTTAACCAGGAGTTGAAGGCAAAAATCTGGGAGGATCTTTCAAACCCTCTTCTGACCGGTGGTAGCGGGCCACTGAAAAACACCTTAGTTTTCAGAGAGCTGAGTGATTTCAACAAAGCAGTAATGTCCTGCTTCAGCATCTCTGACTGTCTTTTCCTAATGTCATTTGCACCAACATGAATAATGAGTTTGCTGGGTGTTAAGCAAGGATTCTTAGGATTCTGTCTCTCATGTCAGCTACTGTGCCTTTGGGAAACAGTATGTTCTGGCGTTTGTACCATTTAAATTCCCATTATTCACATGGAAATCACCCACTATCAGAGTTTGAGGCTCAGCATCTAAGCTTTTATTATTTTTGTTATGTTGATCCAGTTCTGGGTCATTAGGCAGTGGCAGAAATCTGTTGTATTGGACCTGAATGCTTGATTGATGAGACATTCCTCTGGTTTTCATCTTAATCTTCGTTTTGCCAGCTCTTTGCTGTTGTGAACTGGTATCATGATGTTGGGAAGGTAGCGCTGGCCAGTCATTAGCATCTGTGATCTCTCGATGCGAGGGTGTAGTTGAAGCAGGTTGTCCTCCTCTCACTCCCCAGGGACCTGATATACTCTGGCCTGGCACCAGGAGGATTCCACGGATGACTGCTCACAGATTTATCAAGAGGCAGAGAGCCCTCCGGCCTCTTTGTTGGAGCGTTGTTGCTGCTTACTGGCTGTGTCCCACCATCCGCTTGTCCAGCAATCTGAATAGATGAGAGGGTGTTGTCATTTCCAAACAATCCATTTACTTTCAAGCTGACTTCTAGTCGAGACATTTTAGTTTCAAGAACTGTGATCTTCTGGAGAAGTCTTTTTGGAAGTCTTCTGAGGAAAAGGAAGGCACTGTGCTGCTGTAAATCTGCTGGGAGGTTTAAGCTGGTCATAGCCATTGTAGATCAAAGTCGTCGTCGTCGTCGTCGTCGTCTTCCTCCGCTTATCCGGGTCCGGGTCGCGGGGGCAGCATCCCAACTAGGGAGCTCCAGGCCGTCCTCTCCCCGGCCTTGTCCACCAGCTCCTCCGGCAGGACCCCAAGGCGTTCCCGGACCAGATTGGAGATGTAACCTCTCCAACGTGTCCTGGGTCGACCCGGGGGCCTACTGCCGGCAGGACATGCCCGAAACACCTCCCCGGGGAGGCGTCCAGGAGGCATCCTGACCAGATGCCCAAACCACCTCAACTGGCTCCTTTCGATCCGGAGGAGCAGCGGTTCTACTCCGAGTCCCTCCCGAATGTCCGAGCTCCTCACCCTATCTTTAAGGCTGAGCCCGGCCACCCTACGGAGGAAACTCATTTCGGCCGCTTGTATCCGCGATCTCGTTCTTTCGGTCATTACCCAAAGCTCATGACCATAGGTGAGGATTGGGACGTAGATCGACCGGTAAATCGAGAGCCTGGCTTTCTGGCTCAGCTCCCTCTTCCCCATGACAGATCGGCTCAGCGTCTGCATCACTGCAGATGCCGAACCAATCCGCCTGTCGATCTCCCGATCCCTCCTACCCTCACTCGTGAACAAGACCCCGAGATACTTAAACTCCTCCACTTGAGGTAGGACCTCTCCCCCGACCCGGAGTTGGCAAGCCACCCTTTCCCGGTCGAGAACCATGGTCTCAGATTTGGAGGTGCTGATCCTCATCCCAGCCGCTTCACACTCGGCCGCGAACCTACCCAGCAAGAGCTGAAGGTCAGAGCTGGATGAAGCTAGGAGGACCACATCATCCGCAAAAAGCAGAGACGAGATTCTCCTGCCACCAAACTCGACACACTCCACACCACGGCTGCGTCTAGAAATTCTGTCCATAAAAGTGATGAACAGAACCGGTGACAAAGGGCAGCCCTGGCGGAGTCCAACCCTCACTGGGAACAGGTCCGACTTACTACCGGCTATGCGGACCAAACTCACGCTCCTCTGGTAAAGGGACTGAATGGCCCTTAACAGAAAGCCACCCACCCCATACTCCTGGAGCGTCCCCCACAGGGTGCCCCTGGGGACACGGTCATAAGCCTTCTCCAAATCCACAAAACACATGTGGATTGGTTGGGCAAACTCCCATGCCCCCTCCATCACCCTTGCAAGGGTATAGAGCTGGTCCACAGTTCCACGGCCAGGACGAAAACCACATTGCTCCTCCTCTATCTGAGATTCAACTATCGATCGGACCCTCCTCTCCAGTACCTTGGAGTAGACCTTTCCAGGGAGGCTGAGGAGTGTGATCCCCCTATAGTTGGAACACACCCTCAGGTCACCCTTCTTAAAGATGGGGACCACCACCCCGGTCTGCCACTCCCTAGGAACTGCCCCCGATGACCACGCAATGTTGTAGAGACGTGTCAACCATGACAGCCCTACAACATCCATAGCCTTGAGATACCCAGGACGAACCTCATCCGCCCCCGGGGCTCCGCCGCTGTGCAGTTGTTTGACTACCTCAGCAACTTCTGCCCCCGAGACAGTCCATCCCCAGGCCTCCCAGCTCTGGTTCCTCCTCGGAATGCGCATTGGTGGGATTGAGGAGCTCCTCAAAGTATTCCTTCCACCGTCCGACTATAGCCTCAGTTGACGTCAGCAGCTCCCCATCCCCACTGTAAACAGTGTGAGCGAGTTGCTGCCTTCCTCTCCTGAGGCGCCGGACAGTTTGCCAGAACCTCTTTGGAGCCGATCGATAGTCTTTCTCCATGGCCTCACCAAACTCCTCCCACGCCCGAGATTTTGCCTCGGCAACTGCCACTGCTGCACCCCGCTTGGCTATCCGGTACCTGTCTGCTGCCTCCGGAGACCCACAGACCAGCCACGCCCTGTAGGCCTCCTTCTTCAGCCTGACGGCTCCCCGAACCTCTGGTGTCCATCAGCGGGTACGGGGGTTGCCACCACGACTGGCACCGGCCACCTTACGACCACAGCTAGCAACAGCCGCCTCGACAATCGCAGAGTGGAACAAGGCCCACTCGGACTCAATGTCCCCCACTGCTCTCGGGACGTGGTCAAAGCTCTGCCGGAGGTGGGAGTTGAAGATCGTCTTGACAGGTTCTTCTGCCAGGCATTCCCAGCAGACCCAAACGCATAGTGAGGGTCTGCTGGGAACGCCTGGCAGAAGAACCTGTCAAGACGGTCTACGCGGCATGTTCCCTTGCCATCTGATCCAACTCACCACCAGGTGGTGATCAGTTGACGGCTCCGCCCCTCTCTTCACTCGGGTGTCCAAAACATACGGCCGCAGGTCAGATGATACGACTACAAAATCTATCATCGACCTGTGACCTAGGCTGCCCTGGTACCAAGTGTACCGGTGGGCATCCTTATGTTCGAACATGGTGTTCGTTATGGCCAAACTGCGGCTTGCACAGAAGTCCAATAACAAAACACCGCTCGAGTTCAGATTAGGTGGGCCGTTCCTCCCAATCACACCCCTCCAGGTCAAGCTGTCATTGCCCATGTGAGCATTGAAGTCCCCCAGCAGGACAATGGAGTCCCCTGATGGAGCACTATCTAGCACTCGTCCCAGGGACTCCAAAAAGGGTGGGTACTCTGAACTGATATTTGGCCCATAAGCACAAACAACAGTCAGGACCCGTTCTCCGACCCGAAGGCGCAAGGAAGCTACCCTCTTGTCCCCCGGGGTAAACCCCAACACACAGGCAGAGAGTCTCGGGGCTAACAAAAAGCCAACCCCAGCCCTCCGCCTCTCACCCGGAGCAACTCCAGCAAAGTAGAGTGTCCAACCCTTCTCCAGGTGTCGGGTTCCAGAGCCAATGCAATGTGTCGAGGTGAGTCCGACTATATCTAGCCGGTACCGCTCAACCTCTGCCACAAGCTCCGGCTCCTTCCCCGCCAGCGAGGTGACGTTCCATGTCCCAAAAACTAGTTTTCTTGTCCGGGGATTGGACCGCCAAGGCTCCCGCCTTGGTCTGCCACCCGATTCGCATTGCACCGGACCCTTCATGTTCCTCCTGCGGGTGGTGGGTCCACAGTTGGACGAGCCCATGTATCCGGTTTGGGCTGGGCCCGGCCGGGCCCCATGGGCGAAAGCCCGGCCACCAGGCGCTCGCTCACGGGCCCCAACCCCAGGCCTGGCTCCAGGGTGGGACCCCGGTAACCCTCCGGGCCGGGTACTCCGACTCTTCGTTTTAACCGCAATGAAAGATCCTTCGAACCGTTCTTTGTCTCACCCTTCACCTAAGACCAATTTGTCATGGGAGACCCTACCAGGGGCACTAAGTGCCCCAGACAACATAGCTCCTAGGATCATTAGGGCACTCAAACTCCTCCACCACGATAAAGTGACGGTTCAAAGTCGTAGCACAAAATTCTGTTGTAGATTTCTCTGTCAATTTAAGAAGATCCCAGCGATTTAAAGGAGTCCAGTAGTTACTGAGTAGAAAAGTTGGTAAATGAAAATCTCACTGAAAAATGAAATAAAAGAAAAAAGGAGAAGAAACGTAATCAAGCAAGAGTTTCAGGTTGAAGAACTGAGACAAATATTAGTTAGTTTGATCCAGAATGTTCCAGGATCCAGTCTCACTAAGTGACTCAACTCAGTGTCAATCAGTCATTTAATTCACCACTTTAAATGTTTCAAACAGGATCCATCAGAGACTCAGACCTGGACCTGGACCCAGCTGTGTGTCCTTTAAGAGCGACCAGTCAAAGGATTTTATAATTAACTTTAGTTCATCAGGAGCTCCCCCAGCCCCAGCAGAGAGGTGAGCTGTATCTAAATGTTGTAACTGTGTAAAATGTAACTGAGTCCGTCTGAAATGTTTGATTCCAACATGTGTTTAATGTGATCTCAGCTCTTTTCACACTCATGTCTATGTTCAGATGTGTGTGTTGGTGAAAGAATGGGTGTTAGGGCTGGGACGATCATCAATAAATCATTTAATCGAACAATAGATGAAAATTAACTCAATTTTCCCAGCTTTTACATATCGGTCTTTGTCAGACACGTGACCTGCATGTCATCCACGCACCCTTATATTGTTACCTCTACCTTTTAACTGGATATGCAGTGTTGCATGATAAGATACGGAAAGAAAGAAAGGTTAAGAAACATACAACTCTATTAATATTTCTCTACTGAAGTGCAGTTTGGGTTGTTGACACTGGCCACTATATTTATAGTTTTTGGTGCAATATTTTCTAACAGAGAGTGAGAGTCCTTTATTTTATATTTTGTTTGCTTTATTTATTTGTTTAGAAGTTCTGGTTCTGGACATTCCAATGTTACATAAATGTTTAATTGTTGCACTTTAAAGGGTGTAAAGGGTTAATTTTACATCTATTTAATGAACCATAAGACATGAGATTCCATAATTGAGATAGCGTTATTATGATACATTAATATTACATGGTTATTTTGGTCTTGACAATGTCGACAATAATATTGTTTGGCATCAATAATTTGCTGGATAATATCTTGTCCAGAAAAATGTGTTATCTTCCCAGGCCTGATGGATTTTATAGGAGTTTCTGAGTGTCTGTAGTTCACCAGTTGGTCCAGCAGGTGTCACCTTTGTGCTTTGGTTCAAACACAGTGTAGGTAGGAAGTCTCAGGTGGCAGGTGTTGCTGCATGGAGGAGCGTGACGCCACATGGACCTTTACCTTGTGCTTGTCTCTGTGTGGACGGACAGAATGTCAGCTAATTCTTCATGATTCCTCCACAGAGTGGACCAGCAGAGCTCAGAGGTTCCCAGTGGTCAGTCTGCCCAGCAGCATCAAACACAGCTGGACTCCATCTTTATGGTCTGTACATGGACAACAACTACTTTACCGTGTGTTCTGTTCACAGTCGTCTCCATGCTGCTCTTTGTAGACCAGTGGGTTGTCAGTGTGTCCAACACGGATCTGATGTTTGGCTCCATGAGTTCAGTCTGATGTGTCATTAAGATATGATTCTGTTCCAGCTGCTGGAGGACAACATCCTCACTTTTGTGAAGAACGAGCTGAAGAAGATCCACAAGCTTCTGAGTCCAGATGACCCAGAATGCCTAGAGAGGCTGAGGGACGATGAGGAGGTGTTAGAGGGTGAGGATGAAGAGCAGAGGAGGAGCAGCAGAGAAGCGTTTGTGAAGATCACAGTTTCCTTCCTGAGGAGGATGAAGCAGGAGGAGCTGGCTGAGCGTCTGCAGAGAAGTAAGAGGATTTCTCTAAAGATTTAACCTGCTGGAGCAACGAAGCACAAACTGATGGATCATTCAGATGTTCACTTCATCATATTTTGTCTTCATTCAGGACGTGCTGCTCCAGTTAGTCAACAGAAACTTAAAAGTGTTCTGAAGAAGAAGTTCCAGTGTGTGTTTGAGGGAATCGCTGCAGCAGGAAACCCAACCCTTCTGAATCAGATCTACACAGAGCTCTACATCACAGAGGGAGGGACTGGAGAGGTCAACGATGAACATGAGGTCAGACAGATCGAAACAGCATCCAGGAAAGCAGCCAGACCAGAAACATCGATCAGACAAGAAGACATCTTTAAACTCCCACCTGGAAGACACGAACCAATCAGAACAGTGATGACAAAGGGAGTGGCTGGCATCGGGAAAACAGTCCTAACACAGAAGTTCACTCTGGACTGGGCTGAAGACAAAGCCAACCAGAACATCCACTTCCTGTTTCCGTTCACCTTCAGAGAGCTGAATCTGCTTAAGGAGAAGAAGTTCAGCTTGGTGGAACTTGTTCATCACTTCTTTACTGAAACCAAAGAAATCTGGAGCTTTGAAGAGTTCCAGGTTGCGTTCATCTTTGATGGTCTGGATGAGTGTCGACTTCCTCTGGACTTCCACAACAAGGAGATCCTGACTGATGCTACAGAGTCCACCTCAGTGGATGTTCTGCTGACAAACCTCATCAGGGGGAACCTGCTTCCCTCTGCTCTCCTCTGGATCACCACAAGACCTGCAGCAGCCAATCAGATCCCTCCTGAGTGTGTTGGCATGGTGACAGAGGTCAGAGGGTTCACTGACCCACAGAAGGAGGAGTACTTCAGGAAGAGATTCAGAGATGAGGAGCAGGCCAGCAGGATCATCTCCCACATCAAGACATCACGAAGCCTCCACATCATGTGTCACATCCCAGTCTTCTGCTGGATCACTGCTACAGTTCTGGAGGATGTGTTGAAAACCAGAGAGGGAGGAGAGCTGCCCAAGACCCTGACTGAGATGTACGTCCACTTCCTGGTGGTTCAGACCAAAGTCAAGAAGGTCAAGTATGATGGAGGAGCTGAGACAGATCCTCACTGGAGTCCAGAGAGCAGGAAGATGATTAAGTCTTTGAGAAAACTGGCTTTTGATCAGCTGGAGAAAGGAAACCTGATCTTCTATGAGTCAGACCTGACAGAGTGTGGCATAGATATCAGAGCAGCCTCAGTGTACTCAGGAGTGTTCACACAGATCTTTAGAGAGGAGAGAGGAGGGCTGTACCAGGACAAGGTGTTCTGCTTCGTCCATCTGAGTGTTCAGGAGTTTCTGGCTGCTCTTCACGTCCATCTGACCTTCAGCAAGTCTGGAGTCAACCTGATGGGAGGAGAAGAAATAAAAAAGAGAATATATTCATTTAAGAAATCCAAAATCAAACATCTCCACCAGAGTGCTGTGAACAAGGCCTTGGAGAGTCCAAATGGACACCTGGACTTGTTCCTCAGGTTCCTCCTGGGTCTTTCACTGCAGACCAATCAGACTCTCCTACAAGGCCTACTGACACAGACAGGAAGTAGCTCACAGACCAATCAGGACACAGTCCAGCACATCAAGGAGAAGATCAGTGAGAATCAGTCCACGGAGAAAAGCATCAACCTGTTCCACTGTCTGAATGAACTGAATGACGTTTCTCTAGTGGAGGAGATCCAACAGTCTCTGAGTTCAGGAAGTCTCTCCACAGATAAACTGTCTCCTTCTCAGTGGTCCGCTCTGGCCTTCATCTTACTGTCATCAGGAAAAGATCTGGATGTGTTTGACCTGAAGAAATATTCTGCTTCAGAGGAGGTTCTTCTGAGGCTGCTGCCAGTGGTCAAAGCCTCCAACAAAGCTCTGTAGGTCCAGATCCAGCAGGATGTTTCTAAATCTGTTACTGTTGTTTTTTTATTTCATTTATTTAGGAAGGTCCCCTTGTGATTAAAAACTTCATTTTCAAGTGATTCCTGGCCACAAGGCAGCAAAATTTAAAGTCACATTTCTCAGTTACATAGTTAGTTCTATACAACGCTACAGAAGGCAGTTACAACACAGGGAATCTGCCTCAAGTGCTCTCAATCTGGTTTCAAATGTATCCAGAGAGATAAGATTGGTTCATTTCTAGTTTTCCTGCAATCTCTTCCATGAAGGAGCAGAGTGAACAAAAGCCTTTTTTCCCAGTTTTGTGCGAGCGAACACAACACAACGTAACAACTGATCATTTGCACGCAGACAGTGAGAATTTACATTTCTCCATGAGACTAAGTTACAGATGTAGGTGGGTAGTAGATCAAGCATGGCCTTATAAATGAAAGTATACCAATGTCCTAACCTGCTGGTGGACAAAGAAGGCCATCCCACTCAAGAATATAATTCACAATGATAGGTCAGTGGTCTACGGCTAGCATAAAACCTCAGCAAAGACACTGTGCTGACGCATTTTAAAGGAGAAAACATACTGATTCCTATCTGATGTCCCTCTTCAGACTGAGCGACTGTAACCTCTACCAGAGAAGCTGTGAAGTTCTGTCCTCAGTTCTCAGCTCCCAGTCCTCCAGTCTGAGAGACCTGGACCTGAGGGTCCATGACTCGGGAGTGAAGCTGCTGTCCGATGGACTAAAGAGTCCAAACTGTCAACTGGAGACTCTCAGGTCAGTTTTCGCTAGTAGTCTGCTACATTTTTGTTTTATTTTATTATTATTATTATTAACTCATTTGCTGCCAGCGTTTTTACCTTTTTTTTTCAAGAGTCACAGAACGTTGCGCGCTAGGATGATGTCAACGCCAAAACAACCAAAACAAAGTGGAGACTCACCTCTTACATCAGGAAAAATCCGCGCGTTTCGAGCATTAACCGTTCTTTCATAATTTGTTGTGGAATTGCGATCAGCAGATGCTTTTCCGGTTCGCGCCTCACTTTTTTTACAGCAGCGGCCCAAAACGATCTCCTAACACATGGATTTTCTGCTTCCTGATCACGTGACGTGTGACGTATGCGGATGAAGATCGGCTTTAGAGCTGAGGTGTTTGTTCTCACGGTGCGGGGGCTCGTCCGACGCCCACACAGTAAAAAAATGGCAGTGAATGTTTGAATTTAAAATTACTATTTTTGTCGTCAATGACAGTGAATGATATAACTTCATTCAGTCCCTAAAAATGTTAATTGAAACATATCCAGCCAGATGTAAAATTACACAGAAAATTCTTAAAGGACCTTTGTGACTTTCTTCCAGCCTGCTCTAAACAAATCTCAGTTGATCTCTGGTTTAAACAGCAATAATAATTTTCTGTATAATTATATTATGTAGCGTGGTTAACTACATACTAGGATTTAACACTGTTTGCTATCAGTTTGGTTCGATCCTGAGAAAAGATCAAACAAGTTAACAAATGAAGCCTCTATCATATATAAATATCTAGGATATTATATATTCGATAAAAGTTCATATGCCAACAAGCTTGGTCTATTTTTAATCCAAAGATAAATTTTTAATTTAAGATGATTAAATTTAATAGCAAAAGTTTATTTATTAGATCAGAAGTTTAAAGGAATCTTTGCTTATTCAATAACCAAAAATAAGATCCATTTCTGTGTTTCATTTCAAAGAAGAGTCAGAGTTTTTTAAAAAGTTAAGAATTTATTACTAACACTTTTAAAAATGACAATTTAGAAATGACAATTTTAACAGACAATTTGATATTAAAACTTGTTTTAAAATGCAAACCTGTGACTGAATGGAAACTAAAATGAAATGCGAGGTTTTGGATGCGTGAATGAATCTCAGGTTTCTTTCAGTGAGAGAAGCGTTCTGGGTGGAAAAGTTGGGTTTGCAGCTAACTCAGTTATTTCTTAGAGAAAACAGCATCGGACACCATCTGTGTGCTACCGCACCCATCAGACAACCCTTTGTGTGGATTCGGAGGTCACAGGAGGATGTTGTCAGCCTCAGGGTACTCGGCCCGGTAGAGAAAACCCGAGTGGATCTGACTCTCTGGTCCAAAGATGCCGCAGGGTACACGGTGTCGAGCATCTGGCTTAACACTGAAGGAGTTTTGCGTCATCTGGTTACAGTTGCGTTTATTCGAAGCAAGACTATCGGCGTGACAGTATGCTTAGTAGAGACTTGGGCGGCCATCCCTCATCCCCTGGTATGGTTCAAGAACTGGCCTTACAGCTGCAGAGATTTTGGTTTTAACAAAACTCAGATCACGCCCTCTCAGCGTCAGAAAGCTTGATGTTATGAGTAAAGACATGCGAGGTGTTTTAACTTTACCCTGGATACACCCTCTGCGTGAGGTGGTTAAAGTGCAAGCGACCTTCTGGTTTACTGAACACACATTACTGACTATCATAATAATAATTACACAAAGCATAAGTAATTTCAGTAATTTAAATACATTTATACTGAACCAAGACTTATGATTGTAATAAACAGCAATAAAGTCAAAGAGTTTATTGAAATTATTTATAATTATTGTGAAATCTTGAAGTGTCCTTCATCTTGGGACGGAATATTAGCAGATAAAGATGGTGTTTCAGCAGACATCACGGCTCCTGGGTTAATCTGTGGGGGCAAAGTTACAGTTCGACCCAGCTTGACCCAGCTGGGAAAATGTGACCTTTGTCACAAATTAGAGGCCATTCATGACGCTACAATAAATACATTCTTTTTCCATTTCTGTTTAAAACCACAGAAATATGTGAACCAGTCTGACAAAACTGAGTTTGTTCTCTTACATTTGTGTTTTACTTTTCTTTACCTTAAAGATTCAGAGATTTAAATACATTTTGTTAAACTAAGCAGGATATCATGAGGTGATGAAGTGGGTGGAGTCAGAGAGTCTGATGATGGAAGAGTGTTAGAATGATGTTTATAGAGAGTTGTGTGTATAAAGCAAGCTGGACTCCAATGATTATTTTGAACAGTGTAAGAATTTAATTTACATCTGTTTAATGAACCACAAGACATAAGATTCCTTAGTGAATATGAAATCAATCTTATGGATCTTTGGGTACTTTTAACCAGAAGATTGGAACTTTTTATTGCAGGGATTATGTAACAACTTCGTATTCACTCAGAGACAAAAGAAAGAGAGTCAAGTTTTAAAAGTTTAAAGATTTATTACTAAACAAATTAAAACTAGACTAACTTTAAACACTAAATGTATGGTTTAACTAAGGTGAAGTGAGACGGAGAATGGTGTAGTGTGGAATGTTGTTCAGAACCAGCAAATCCAGAGAAACAATTAGTTCTGATGGGAGTGAAGGTGAGGTCTTCGCGCCAAGCTTTGATTTGGAGATTCATAACACACATTGAGACGCCATTCTGTCGGCCTACGTACCCTTTCGAAAGTCCCCGTTAGATCAGGAATGTCGAGGTCCAGCTTGACCCTCTCTGGAACCGAAGCCGGTAGGAAAAGCAGCGGTTGCCGACCAGACCAGTCTTGAGATACTTCCAGATCACGACAGTTTTGTTGGCATCTAGCAAGACCCAAAACGGGGTCGTGATGGTTCAGCTTTTATTCTGAAAGGAACCGTTGCAGCAGTTGGAACTGCTACAGATTTTATCCAGCTGTCACTCTGAGAGCAGGAGGTTTGGACCCAAGGTGCAGAAATCCAGAACACACAGGCAGGAGCGGTTGAAAAAGTAAAATCCTTTATTCAGGAAGATAACCAGAAATCCAGGGGGAGAAATCCAAAACCTAATAACTAAACTCACGCAAAAAACCAAAAGCTCACCTTCTGAGCAGAGACCTGGAGACTAGAGACTGGAGACAAAACAATGCTGACCTAAGACAATGAACCAACAACCACAGAGTGACAAGACAAGGCTTATAAACACAGAGGGAGGTAATCAGGGAAACAGGTGACAGGTGTGAGGAGTGTGAGCTGAGGAGAAACTGGTGGAATCAATCAACTAAATGGGCAGGGAAAGAGCTTGGCAGGATGGCAGATAAACATTAACCTATAAAACATGGATCTAACTAAACCTAAAAGACAGTGGGCAAAAATAAACCACTAATAACCAGATGGGGGAGGAGGACTAATCTAAAGACAACTAGGAAAACCAGGGAATGACGAGGAGGACACAAGAGAACCTGAAGTGGGAACAGGAAGGGGCTGGTGAATGAAGGGACACAGAACATGACACCAGCTTGTCGTTGGTTCTCTCGGCTGAAGAGGAAAGTTACAGATTGGCCACTCCGACACTTCTCTAGAACGTTTTGAACTGGAGTTAAAGATGACGTGGGCATAGTTTTACAATTCGGATGTTTTGATTTACGGTCGAAAGAAAAGATGACAGATTTACCAAACACCACCAAAACCACGCCTCCGTCAGATCTGGAAGATTCTGATTGGATCAGTAAAAGCAATGTGTGATGTAGCTTGTGTAATCAGTCTCAAGTGGAAACATTTAAAGTTATATTACTTATTATATTCTATAGGATTATAATATCAAATAATTAATGTTTTCATTTCACAAATTGGTTCACATTTTATTATTGACTAACACTTTGTTTGACTAGCTTATTAAAAACAGAATTCTTTGATTTATTAAAAAGAAAGAATCCTTTGTCTTCATTCTTCTCTTAGGCTGGAAAGGAAAACAGTTTAGAAGCAGATGCTTGAGACCTTGAACAATATCTCATGCAGATTAGTTCTTGCTGAGGAGAGGGGGAAATGACTTTTAGGTGGAAAACAGTAATTTCATTCCGTTACAACAGTGTGGATGTCTACAGCATTAGAGTTAGGATGGATGACTGTTCATCTCCTTCTGCTGCTCTTGCTTGGGGCTTGCCACAGGGGTCTATCCTCGGCCCCCTTTTATTTAGCATTTATATTATTCCACTGGGTCTAATCTTCAGGCAGTTCAACATTAACTTTCATCTTTATGCGGACGACTGCCAGATTTATGTTCCCTTGAAGACTTTTACCTCCATCCAGCCGCTCCTTGATTGCCTGAGTGAAGTTAAAGACTGGCTGGCAGCAAATTTTCTGCTGCTGAAAGGTTTTAAGACCGAGTTTATTGTTTTTACTCCTAATGGCTCGTCTTCCTCCGCTCCTGATTTTTCTGCTCTTCCTTTTAAAATTAGTCAAACAATTGTTAATCTTGAAATTAAAATGGATGTGGCTCTAAAAATGGACCCTCTTGTTAATCACATGGTTAAATTATGTTTTTATCAGCGGAGACGTCTTTCCAAACTAAAACCCATTCTGAAACGGCTCCACCTCGAGACAACCATTCACACTTTAATTACCTCAAGGTTGGATTACTCCAATGCAGTTCTGTTTGGCATTTCAAAAGCCGCATTGTCTCGCCTTCAGCTGATACAGAATGCGACAGCAAGATTTCTGTCTAATACGGGCCGTCGGCAGTACATCACTCCAATTTTAGCAAGACTTCACTGGCTTCCTGTGCACTATCGTATACGTTTTAAAATGTTATTGTTTGTTTTTACGGTGTTGAATGGCTTAGCACCACCTTACATATCCGAGTTACTCACTCCTTATGTGCCGGGCAGGACTCTCCGTTCAGGTGACCTACACCTACTACAGATTCCCCGTCTACGCTGCAAAACCCGTGGTGAACGAGCTTTTTCTGTCTGCGCTCCGAAACTCTGGAATGATCTCCCGTTGAATATCAGACTTTCCTCCTCCATTGGGGTTTTTAAGTCTCACTTAAAGACTTACTTTTATTCCCTTGCTTTTACTGCCTAGCTATTTTATCTAGGTTTATTTACACAATTATTTTACTGATTTTGTTGAGTTCTCTTGTTCGGTTCTTTGTGCTATGCTCTAGCTGTTTTATTCTTTTATATTATTCTATTAACCTTATATGTTTTACCCCTGTACAGCACTTTGGTCAGCTCACATGCTGTTTTTAAATGTGCTTTATCAAATAAATGGAATGGAATGGACTCCAAGGTCAAACTAAACAAGCATGACAAAAAAAACCAACATGAAGAGAACTCATGTGCAGAAGTCAGGTTTTAGGGACAGAGAGGACAGACCAGTGCTCCCAGTTAGACTGATCAGGCCCTCCCACAAGAACCTGATCACATCAATGACAGAAACAGCTCCTACCTCCATGTTAGTGAATCAGAAACTTGATGTTGATCAAATGTTACAGACAGAATCAGCGGTTTGATGATCTGATCAGATACAAGCTTTGATCACAGATGAAAGATGAACTTATTTCTAATCTCATCAAGAAGTTTTATTTCTGTCTGACAGCAACATCATGAGAGGTAGGAGTTACCTAAAGGGAAGATTAGTAACCTAGGAAGCCAGATATTCACATATTAGTAACTAGTCTTTTCATCAGAATAACTTTGAGTGATTGTCCTTAAGTTGGTGATAAAAAGGTCAGACTAAATCTGAATTATTTTAATCTTCTCTCCAGGCTGAGAGTCTCTGATCTCTCAGAGGAAAGTGTTGCTGCTGTGTCGTCATTTCTCAGCTCCCAGACATTTATTCTGAAAGAGCTGGACCTGAGAAACCTGCAGGATTCAGGAGTCCAGCTGCTGTCTGAGGGATTGAAGAGTCCACACTGTCACCTGGAGACTCTCAGGTCAGGTCTCAGATTTAATGAAGGTTGATGTTACTGAAGAAAAAAAATTAAAAGCATGAATAAAATGATTACATACTTGATAAAACAACGTAAAATTATTCAAATGGTAATAAACATATGTATTATTCAATAACAGTTGTGATTGAGAATCCAGATGTAATTATCGTTTTTGTTCAGAGACAGTATTTATTATGGATCTATTATTCCATGAAAATGCAGCTCAGTATTGACTGATGGGTTCTGCAACTGAAGTCCGTCTGCAGAACGTGTTTGAGAAGTTCCACATGTCCAGAACAACAGATGGATCATTAGAACATCAACATGTTGACTGTCTGTGTGAAGAACAGAAATCTGTCCGGATGAGGGGAGGCTGGACCCAAATATAGATACCCAAAACGACACTGAGAGAGGAGGTGTTGCAAAATAAAATCCTTTTATTCAGGAACAATAAAGGAAGTCCACAGGCTCAGGAAAACATAGGAGCCCAACCAATAAATCAATTAAATTAAATTAAATTAAATTATTAAATTAAATTAAATTAAATTAAATTAAATTAAATTAAATTCACAAAAGCTAAACTAGAAACTAAGCTGGAAACACAAGAAGCTACAAAACTGGTCTGCTGGTGTAACACACAACAAACCAACGAACACTTCTTCAAAGATGGCAAGCTAGAGGCCCACAAGGCGTATTGCTGCCTCAGCAATGATGGCACATAGCCTAAGACCTATCACAGCCTCCCATACACACCAACCTTCCAGAGAAAAGCCGAAAGCGCCCCACCACACGCCGATCCTCCACCCCCAACAAGGTCCGCAGACTTAACGCAGTCACACCAACAGCCCCCACAAAAACAGAGCCCACCATTTAACCACGTGCAGACAGTGCAGAAGGACAAGGGCAACCATTTCCTGCTCCCCACATTTGCAAGAACTGTCCGGGTGTCTACGAATCAAAAACAAACCTCCCCTAAGACAGCTATGGCCCAATCTCAGGTGTGTCAAGACCACGGAATCGCTCCGCCCACATACTGCAGCTCATAATATAATCTCCCAGCAATCCCCACATCCCAGGAGGCCTGCCACATGTCCAGAGCCACCCGACCAATCGCCGCAGTGCCTCCTTTGCAGCAGCATCCGCCTCCTCATTGCCCACTATCCCCACATGAGCAGGAACCCACACAAAGCCAACCTCTCACCCCAAAACCATCAACCTGTGCAGCTGCATCTGTACCTTCGCCAGCAGGTCAGGCTGAGACCGGGAACGCCGTCCCATCAACGTCAAAAGAGCAGCCGCAGAATCCGAACAAAGGACAGAGCGGGGTGGCAAATGTGCCTCAATTCAATGCAGGGCCCACCAAATTGCCACCAACTGAGCAGAGAACACAGTGCACTTGTCCCCAATCCTGCAACCTCAACAATACCCCAAACAAGGGACTGCCAACCCCACTGCAACCCTGCCACTGTCCGGGTTCGTGGAGCCATCAGATTACAGCTGCAAAGACAACACCCAAACCATCCCCACATAATCCATAAAAGCTCCCGCTCCTCTGCTACTTCAGCTACGTTCCAACAAAGAACTGTCCACCTCAGAAACCGTAGGAAAGCACGGAAGGACCTCTGTCCAGACCAAGTGGGAACACACTGACCACTCAAGGAATCCCAGCTCCACCGACTGTCCCCTCAGCTGATCCGGGAAACCCCTCCCTTAAGTAATTAACAGTGGAGTGGATCCATGAGCATCAAATCCCAGACGCTGAACAGCCACCACCGCTGCCCCACTCAGGGAGGAAAACACGTCAGAAACAGAAACCTCATTCGACATGCCGCATACCACGCCCTTAACCAAAGCACCCGGACGCAACTTAGAAACATCCACTCCCACCCCCATACACGTTTCAAGCCACAGCGCTTTGAGGCACTGGGCCCTTGTCCAACAAACCACCGTACTGAGCGCCCTGGATACGGCAAACAGGTTGGACGCTGCAAAACGCGCACCAGCCATTGCCCTGATGCGGACCACAAAACCGCCCTCTGCCAGTCTCTGCTGCTTTGCATGTGCATTCCAATCACTGTCCGAGGCATCACTGCTACCCGCACGGTCCCTCTTGACCACCCCCGACCCCGCCAAAAAATCGGCCACACCGGCCTTTCCAGCTTCCTTCTTCCCATTCACCACCGCAAACGAGGCTGACTCAGAGCGAAGTTGAGCCATTGGCCAACCACCCAAACAACCCCCACAGCCAATCAAACCGGTACCACCCAGCCAGTCACTCTCTCATCAAAGGTTCCTACTCTCCCTCTCTTTCCCCCAACAAACACTGAGAGATAAGACAGGGTTATATACACAGGGGCTGGGGGAACTGGGAACAGGTGAGACATATTCACTGAGTGGAGAAGCCAAAAAAAGCAAATGAGGAAACTAGGCCTAAAAACCTGTAAAACAAAAACTACTGAACATAAACTAACTTAAACACTTAAGAATTAAAGACTCTGGAGAACTAAATATAAATAAACCAATGACCTAAAGAGTTACAGAACTAAATACACAGAAAGGCAGGGGATAATAAGAGTACCTGATCTAAATGAATGCCACAACAAGGAGGGGAGACATGAAGGGAAACAGGAGACAAGGACACAAAACGTGACATAATCATGATGCTGTCTGCAGACACTGAGTGGACAATCTAAAGTCTGGAGAGCATAATGATGACTATTAGTCACAAATAGAACAGCAGAGTGATATATAACATCCTGGTGATGTTGGAAAGATGGATGCAGTGGCGGCTCCAGAAATGTTTCTCTGCAGGTGCTATGAAGGAGCTAGTCTTTTTACTGAGGGTGCTTTGAAGGAAGTGGTCATGCGTACCTATTGTTCTCTAAAACACCTTCAACACTAGCAGATACACATGTGTGCACAACACCTGAAACAATCATTAATATACATCATAAACATAAGAACAATCGCTGACTTTTCCATGAAGTAATAAACACATACAGCCACACAGAAAACCATCTATAGTGTTGCAAGGTTAGCTAACGTTAGCGTTAGCATTTCCAGCGGCAAAACCCTGGACTGCTGCGGCGGTTGAGGGTTGACTCTTTTCATCCAGATCCGTAGGTTTTTGTGGGTCTGAGATCACTTCCAAACATTCATTCGTTTCTGACTGAACCCGTGGAAACGTGGGCAACAAAAACCGATCCATTTTACCGCTAGCTCTACCTTTCACTCGTTCACAGGTGAAAAATGAGGTCAAAGGTTAACATCAATTTCCTGTTTTGGTTTAAGTTTTTACTATCTATATGATAATTTACTGATTATTTTTGTTTTGTAATATTATCACATCCACACATTAAATTAAAATTAAATTATAAAAAAAAAATCTAATATTTACTTGGGGGTGCCATGAGTCATGACTAATCCAGGGGTAGCTATAGCGCCCCCCTGGCGCTGCCACTGCACTAAAGATCTAAAACCAGAGTGAGTTTAGGTAAAGCTGTGCTGACATAGGTCTAAAATAAGAAACCTTCACACATCAGATGTTGCTTTGGTGTTCATGTCATATATTAAATTTTTAAGTTTTATTTATTAACATATTTGTACATTTTTCTATCCAGGCTGAGTGTCTTTAACCTGTCAGAGAGAAGCTGTGAAGTTCTGTCCTCAGTTCTCAGCTCCCAGTCCTCCGGTCTCAAAGAACTGGACCTGAGTAACAACAACCTGCAGGATTCAGGACTGAAGCTTCTGTCTTCTGGAATGAAGAGTCCACAATGTCACCTGGAGAGTCTCAGGTCAGGATAAGGACCCGGGGTCAGACTCTTTTATGCCTCAGTTCCCAAAGATCACAAACCCAGTTCATTCATGATTCAGCTCCATGTTTAACTGATGACCAAGTGAAGAGTTGCTTTATTAATTACTAACAAAACACGTATTAATGTTCTTCATGTATTTGATCACCAGAGTTCTGTCTCTTTGTTTGGTCTCCCTTCTCTGTTGGAAGTTACTAATCTACCAAGTTACTCATCTGTCCTGTGTGTTGTTGTTTATCCTGTGTGTTATTTTGTGTGTCTGCAGCCTGTCAGGTTGTCTGATCACAGAGGAAGGCTGTGCTTCGCTGGCCTCGGCTCTGAGCTCCAACCCCTCCCATCTGAGAGAGCTGGACCTGAGCTACAATCATCCAGGAGACTCGGGAGTGAAGCTGCTGTCAGCTGGGCTGAAGGATCCACACTGGAGACTGCACACTCTCAGGTATGGAGACACCTGCTGAAGATGCTCACAGTTTCTGGTAAAGGAGTTAGGGGACTTTTCTCTTCACAATGACCATTTGGGTCATTCAGTGGCTGGAAAAGACAACCAAACATATTTGTTCATATTTACAAAAAACTCTAAAACTACTGCGGCTTAGCTAGAGGCTCAGCTCGTTCACCCCCAGTGGGGCCTCTTTAATATAATAATCAGGCTGATTAGGTAGAAAATATGAACGTCTGTAAGCAGCATGGCTGACATGTTCCAAAGTGCTGAACAATAAAAACATGTAAACAACAAATAATTAATACAGTGACAACAACATTATAAAAGTCACAGTAAAAACCAACCAATTCAATCAAAGGCCAGAGAAAAGGTGAGTCTTCGGGCAAGATTTAAACACAAGAAGAGTCAGTTTGTTTCACATTTGTAGGCAGCTCATTCCTCAACCTGGGACACAAAACAAACAGTGTTGACAACTGTGAAAGTTCCAACATGTCTGTGCTCATGGTGACCTCTGACCTTTAACACTGTTAACAGGCATTACAGGGAAAGAAAATGGTAATATTTACTCGGTACAATTGTCAGTAACGCGGTAATTACAATGCATTTTTAAACCCAGAATCAAGATGTGTTCCTTGAAAATTCAAATTGCGGGAAACCCGAAGAAAGATCCAGTATCCACATATATGACGTCATTTATGGACTCAGCTTTGCGGGCAGAGAGGACGCCGCGATAACGGCTCAACTACTCCAGCTGCGTCCTGCACGCGGCCGCTGCAACATTCACAAAATCACTCCACTAAAACAAAATAATTCACTTGCGATCGTTCATATCAGTGCATATTCTCTGGTATTTTGTGCTTTTCTGACGTGCTTTGCCTCAGCTGAGTTCATAATCTGTGCCCCGGTGATTACTGCTGGAGTGCCGCGCATGTGAAGATCCCTTTGGCTGATAGTTAGAAAGTAGGAAGTATAGGAAACAGTTTTTTCTGGAAGACGGAGAAAACATGCAGCATGCAGGAAGGTTAGAGTGAGAAAGGGCAGGAAATTATTCAAATAAAATCAAGAAAAAAAAGAAAAAAGTAGGTAGATTTATCCCCAATACACATTTTTACCAGTGAAAAGCAATAATATATAAGCATTTAATATTTATACTAGTGATAGAATCAGATCACCCCAGAGGTCAGTCCCACATCCAGGGCCGTATCAAGGCATTTGGGGACCAAGGCAAATATAGGCTTGGAGCCCCCACCACCTCACTCCCTGCTCAGATGGCCCTATAGATGGCAGCGCACTGAGAGTACAGATTGTTTTTGCTTTTATTTAATAAACAATCATTTTAAAGCACTGTTATTATATCTGACTGTTTTTAACAGCAATCCTAGCTCAGACACCACATCACCTTCCACATATATGTCATGAGCTCACTGAGCGTCACATGACCAGATTCATATTGAAATTATTTTGGTGAAAGTAACTTAAAGTAATGAAAAAGTAGTGTAATGCCTTACATTTTAAAATCAGTAATATTGTAATGTAATGAATTACTTTAAAATGAGGGTAACAAGTAATAAATAATGCATTGCAATGCATTGCAATGCATTTTGAAGTAACTTGCCCAACTTGCAATGCATTTTGAAGTAACTTGCCCAACACTGCTAACTTCTCTTTTACACACTGATGGAAGCTGCAGCTTCTGTGCTGAACAACATCTCCAATATATCCTCTTAGATGTTGTTATGAGTGGAGGTATCAGTGAGCTAGCACCAGCAGGCTGTGTTCATGAAGTTGCTGCATTCCACTGCATTGCATGTAGTACTATACTGTTCCACTAGGGGCAAACTAGATCACTCAGCCCAGATAGAGAGCTGGGTTTGTGGGTACAACCAAAACAAACATGGTGTCAAGACATCAGTAGCTGGTTAATTTTGAGATCACGGCAGAAAAAGTTGTCGTCTCAGCTGCTGGACGACTGGGGCATGGAGGACAACGACCACGTCTTCACTGAGGACGACTACCGCTCTCTGACCAACTACAAAGCTTTCAGCCAGTTTGTCAGACCCCTCATTGCAGCCAAGAACCCTAAGATTGCCGTTTCTAAGATGATGATGGTTCTGGGAGCCAAGTGGCGCGAGTTCAGCACCAACAACCCTCTGAGAGGTGCCGCTGCCACCAACGCCGCCCTGGCCACCGCCAACGTCTCTGCTGCTGTAGAGAACATGGTGGCATAGGTGGCCCCTGTAGCCATGGCCCTGCTGCCCACCCTTGAGCCCGTGCAGACCCCTGCACCTCTCCTCCGCAAGGCCAAGACCAAGGAAGGCAAAGAACCCAATGCTCGCAGAAGGTCCAAGCCTACCCCGAAGCCTCAAGAGAAGAAGAATAACGCCAAAACAAAGAAGGTTGCACCTTTAAAAATCAAACTCGGAGGCTTCAGCAGCAAGAGGAAACACTTGTCGAGCAAGGAGGACAAGCCGGACGTGGACAGCGACTTTGAGAACGGGAGCATCAACAGCATCTCGGTGTCGGAGAGCTCGAACAGTCGCAGAAGCCGCAGCAAGAAGAAGGCCCTGAAGAACAAACCCAAAAAGAAGAAAGAAGCAGAAGGTGGCGACGGGTACGAAACAGACCACCAGGCAGGGCCAGATTAAGACTTCGTTGTACCCTGGCCAACAATATTCAAGGGCTTCATCATCACGACCCGAGGATCACCATAATGTGGTCACATACAGAATATTTTACTGTAATATGCAGTAAATATACTCAATACTTGAATGCCTGGCATCACGTAACCCGCTCAGGGTAACCTTTGACCCACCTCGTGTGGACTGACCAATGAGGAGAGGGTCTTAACTTGAGGCCCTCTCTTCATTGGTCAGTCTGCATGAGACTGACTCTCAACTGACGTTCAGTCATAGGCAGCGAAGCGTCTCTGTGCAACGCAAAAGCCCGGGTGGACAGTTTGTTTAGTACAGGGTGACCATATTTCCATTTCCAAACAAGAGGACAGGGGATCTGTGCCTATGATGTCACACTATGGCAACGCCACACAAACCATGTTGGGACCCATTTTTTGTAAGAACTAAATTAATATCAGATTCTACCAATAAAAGGGCTCTAAAACAATTCATATGTAAATATTTTGCATATTTATTGCAAAATCTCATTTTTCTGCTTTAGTGCTTCTTACGTCCCTTGGCTCGCTAGGAGCACGATGGTGATTAACGGAGTAATGAAGATTTAGTACTGGAAGGAAACAAACCAAATTAAAACTCTCTGAAGGAAATTTATTAAAACAAACAGCACTCTGGGCTGAAAAAGGAAACAAAAAGGTCATCCAAATACTGGGCATCAATAACAAAAGAAATTAACATAAAACTATTTCTAATAAACAAAAGCGCGGCGCAAAAGGGCCGGAATAAAGGTACGCGGAATAACAGAAAAGCTGCACCAAAAGGGTGAGCAGGGTCTCTCCTGAAATGAGGACACACAAACCACTATTATTATAAACAAACTAGAATTTACCACTTAGGTGTCAAAATAAGAAAATACCACACAGGTAACTAACGAGAACCACTAAGGTAGCGAACGGAGACTTTAACGTCTCAATCGAGGAGAGAGAAAGGAGAGTTAACACCTCCGTGCCAACGCCCAACTAATTGTCTCTCCTCGAATGACAGGCAGAGTCCCCTTTTAACAGTGAGACACAATCAGCCTGACAGCCCGCAGCTGTGCAGGCAGAGTACCGAGGGCCTCTTGTGGCCAAAAGGTGCCAGTGTCCATCACAGTGCTGCAACAAGGTTTCATTAATAATAAATTATTATACCTTTTGTTTTACTACAGCATCAGTAAGCTTCCTGTGCACAGATAATAAAGGATGCTTGTTTCAGCTGTGAGATTAGACGATAGGGTCAATGACAAAATAAGTTGTCACACACTCCATGGAAGCTTTCAGAGAATCCACAAATAGTGGCTTTCAAATGGTTTTGTTACTTCTTGCAAGTTTAGAAAAGAAGCAGATGAGACAGCATGTCTGATAATTTAGTTTTTCATCTGATAATATTAGAACATGTCTGTAATGTCTGAGGGGCTTTTATAAACACCGTATAACTAACACTACTGGAGAGGGTATGAATTACACAGAGGCTTCTGGGGAGCCCAGCTATGGGGGGGTGGGGTCATTTTGCCTTGGCCCCCAAAATGTCTTGAAACGGCCCTGGGTGTGTGACTGAGTTATGAAGGTGATCTGAATTGTATCAGATGTATAATTATTACATGTGTATAACTTATTGTTTTATACAAGTAAAAACGTGTAGTGGAGATAAATCTACCTACATTTTGTTTTGATTTCTTGTTTTTATTGAACTATTTTCCTGTCCTGTCTGTCTCTCATCTTCCTGCATCTCCTCTAAACTCTCCAGAAAAACTGCTGCCTGATTCTTACTTTTTCACCTCATCAGTTACTTTTGAGCAGATCAAAGGGATCTCCTGACCGCAAAGCGGAGAGCGCGTTTCGATGCTGCGTCAGTGAGGTGAAATCTCCGCAGCAGGTGATGATCTCCGCAGTAGCAGAGCGCTTCAGGCACAAATAAGACAGAAAATAGAGAACATGTGCGGACATGAACGATCGTGTGTTAATTATAGTTTTTTGGTTGCGCCATTTTGAGAATGGACCGTGCGCTGGAAGCAGCTGCCTGGAGCGCTGCGCAACAACGCGCTGTGCCGCTCTCTGTGCTCTCTGCTCAGAAGAGTCCATAAATGATGTCATATGAGTAGAAAACGTTTTTCCGGCTCCCCTGGATGTGTAGGATGTACAGCTCCCCCATAATTCGATCCCTGCTCCTGGATGAAAAGCCAGACATTTTCATCAATACAAGAACCCCCCTCCCCCAGACGCCCTAGACAGAGAGTGAAAAGTGGACATGTACGGGGAAAGCAGGACGTACGGTCACCCTAGTTTAATATAAAGCGGGAGATTACAGATACAGTATTTTGCTCGTGCCCTTGCTGCCCTGGGCCCTTTAGAGTTTGTGGGTCCTGGGGAATTGCCCAGTTGCCCATATGGTTAATCCGGCCTTGCCACCAGGACTACTGTGAGGTGTGTCAGCAGGGTGGAGAGATCATCCTGTGTGACACCTGCCCCAGAGCGTACCACATGGTCTGTCTGGATCCCGACATTGAGAAGGTGCCCAAGGGCACCTGGAGCTGCCCGCACTGCAAGAAAGAGGGCATCCAGTGGGAAGCTAGAGAGGATGCTTCCAAAGGGGAGGAAGACAACAGCGACATGGGAGAGATGGAGGAGGACGATCACCACATGGAATTCTGTCGGGTTTGTAAAGACGGAGGAGGGCTCCTCTGCTGCGACTCGTGTCCCCCGTCCTACCACATCCACTGTCTCAACCCCCCGCTGCCCGAGATCCCCAGCGGAGTGTGGATCTGCCCCCGCTGCACTTGTCCAGCTTTAAAGGGGAAAGTGCAGAAGATCCTAACGTGGAGGTGGGGGGATGCCCCTCTCCCAACACCCGTCCCCCGCACTCCAGACCTCGCGACCGATGCTCCCGATCCCGCTCCTCTTGCAGGGTTGTTACAGCTGTTGCTGTTTGCCTCAGAAATCTGACACTGCAGAGGACAATTAGTGCATTGCCTCCTCCTCCTACCTGCACAGCTGCACTCACTTGGGCTGATCACCTCCTGAGCAGCATAAAAGGGAGAGACTGGATCTGTGCCAGTTCTCTCATGTGCTCCATTTATTGGTGTTTTAATGGCTTTTAAATGGGTTTTAGTTCTTTAAGCTTAGAGAAGCTTAAGAGCTTTTAGAGGTTTTTAACAGACAAGGGACCAGAGTGCTGGTTACCTCATGGCTCCCAAACTTGTGTTTAAGTCAGTGGACTTTGTTTTGTGAATGTTTGGGAGCATTCGTATGTCTGTTTTAAACGTAAACCCTTGGCCATTTTAACAATGTGTTTAAGTACTTTTAGATTTGGAGCTTTTTGTACCTGGACAGCACCGGGGGCACGCTGCACCCCTAATAGCTGGAGGGGCTGAACTGGGTGCGGTTCTCCTGGGCTCAGGGCACCGACACCATCCTGGCTGACGAGATGGGTCTGGGAAAGACGGTCCAGACCGCCGTCTTCATCTACTCGTTGTACAAGGAGGGTCACTCCAAGGGTCCATTCCTGGTCAGCGCTCCTCTCTCCACCATCATTAATTGGGAGCGAGAATTCGAGATGTGGGCGGTGGACATGTACGTGGTGATGTACATCGGCAACAAAGACAGCCGAGCCGTCATCAGGGAGAACGAGTTCTCCTTCTAGGACAACGCCATCCGAGGAGGCAAGAAGGCCTGCAGGATGAAGAAAGACTCGTCCATTAAGTTCCACGTCCTGCTGACGTCCTACGAGCTGATCACCATTGACATGGCCATCTTGGGCTCCATAGACTGGGCCTGTCTCGTGGTGGACGAGGCACACAGGCTGAAGAACAACCCGTCAAAGTTCTTCCGGGTGCTGAACAACTATACACTGCAGCACCAGCTGCTGCTCACTGGAACTCCTCTGCAGAACAACCTGGAGGAGCTTTTCCACCTGCTCAACTTCCTCACACCCGAGAGGTTCAACAAGCTGGAGGTTTTCCTGGAGGAGTTCGCCGACATCGCTAAAGAGGACCAGAACAAGAAGCTGCACGACATGCTGGGTCCGCACATGCTCAGGAGGCTGAAGGCCGATGTCTTCAAGCACATGCCCTCAAAGACTGAGTTGATCGTCCGCGTGAAGCTCAGCCCCATGCAGAAGAAATATTATGAATTCATCCTGATGAAAAACTTTGATGCACTCAACACGAAAGGAGGAGGAAACCAGGTCTCGCTGCTGAACGTCGTCATGGATCTCAAAAAATGCTGCAACCACCCCTACCTCTTCCCCGGTGCTGCTATGGAAGCGCCAAAGATGCCCAACGTGATGTACAACAGAAACACCCTCACAAAGGCTTCTGGGAAACTGCTGTTCCTGCAGAAGATGATGAGGAAGCTGGAGGAGGGAGGACACCGAGTTCTTGTTTTCTCTCAGACGGCCAAGATGTTGGATCTTCTGAAGGATTTCCTGGAACACGAAGGGTACAAATATGAGCGGATTGATGGAGGGGTCACAGGAGGGATGAGACAGGAAGCTATCGATCGGTTCAACACTCCTGGAGCTCAGCAGTTTGCCTTCCAGCTGTCAACGAGAGCCGGAGGTTTGGGCATCAACCTGGGCCACGGCCGACACCGTCATCATCTACGACTCCGACTAGAATCCTCACAACGACATCCAGGCCTTCAGCAGAGCTAACCGTATCGGTCAGAACGAAAAGGTGATGATCTACCGATTTGTCACCAAGGCGTCAGTGGAGGAGAGGATCACGCAGGTCACCAAGAAGAAGAGGATGCTGACTCACCTGGTGGTCCAACCTGGTCTCAGATCCAAAACCGGCTCCATGTCCAAACAGGAGCTGGACGACATTCTCAAGTTTGGGATGGAAGTGCTCTTCAAGGACGAGGGAGAAGGTGAGACAAAGGAGGACAGCAGCATCATCCACTACAATGACTAAGCCATCGATCGGCTGCTGGACAGGAATCAGGATGCCACGGACAACACGGAGCTGCAGAGCATGAACGAGTACCTGAGCTCCTTCAAAGTGGCTCAGTACGTGGTGAAGGACATGCCTGATTCAATAAAGATGAAATGAAATGAAAAGAATGAGTGTAAACTGAGCGGGAAGGTGACGACCACAGGACAGGACTTTAGAGATGCTCCATTCAAATGTTGGATTGTTCCTTTCTCAGTGTAGAACAATGTGTGTGAGAACCATGTCATGTCCATGTTTACATGCTGAAAGAGACTGATGCCTGACCCCCTCCTCCTTTCAGGGTGGAGCCTGCTGGAGTCCGATGGTTGACACCAGGTCTGAGGAAGTGTAAGTGTGTTTGGATTTGATTCATGACAACCATCTTCACACTGTCACCTCACTCATTCATGAGTCATCATCAAAGTGTCAATAAATGATCAATAACTGCAGCTGGATTGTGTTTGTTCTCTCCATCAGATTCCTGTCAGCTCTCCATCGACACAAACACAGTAAACAGAAACCTCAGACTGTCTGACAACAACAGGAAGGTGACACGTGTGAAGGAGGTTCAGTCATATCCTGATCATCCAGACAGGTTTGATTACTGTCCTCAGCTGCTGTGTGGACCTGGTCTGACTGGTCGCTGTTACTGGGAGGTCGAGTGGAGAGGAAAAGTTTCTATATCAGTGAGTTACAGAAGAATCAGGAGGAAAGGAGTCAGTAGAGACTGTTGGTTTGGAGGGAATGAAGAGTCCTGGAGTCTGGACTGCTCTGAAGATTATGGTTACTCTGTCTGGTACAATAACAGAAAAACACCCATCTCCTCCTCTGTCTCTAACAGAGCAGCAGTCTATGTGGACTGTCCTGCTGGCATTCTGTCCTTCTACAGAGTCTCCTCCGACTCACTGATCCACCTCCACACCTTCAACACCACATTCACTGAACCTCTTTATCCTGGATTTGGGTTCTGGTCTCCTACTTCAAGTTCTGTGTTACTGTGTACAGCTTGATGTGACGAGTGTCCTCCTGTCAGAGAAGCACTCTCACTTAGTGCGTTTACACGCACATCAGAAAACTGAAGTATTACCCTAAAAAAGACTCACTTCAGTTTTTTTTATTGCATGTAAACGCATTAGTCTGGCTGATGGTGAACTGGTTCTAATCAAGCTGAAGCACCCAGATAAGGAGGAAGCAGATAAGAGGAAGTAGGACACTCCCATTCCGGAAGTGACGAGATCGGGGAAGCAGCTTCTCTATCAAGACCATCGTCACAAAGCAACACGTCTAACACCATAAAACAGGACAGTGCGTACCAAATAAATGGTCTGGATTTGTATAGAGCCTTCTTAGGGTTCTACAACCCCCCAAGGAGCTTCACAACACAACCGGTCGTTCACCCATTCACACTCTGGTCGGGATGAGCTGCGTTGTAGCCACAGCTGCCCTAGGGCGCACTGACAGAGGCGAGGCTGCAGAGCACTGGCACCACCGGTCCCTCTGACCACCACCAGCAGGCAAGGGGGGTTAAGTGTCTTCCCCAAGGACACAAAAGCAGCATTCTCTGGTCGGAGCTGTGCTGCAGCATTGTTGTTGTGTATTCCTTCAGCCATTGTGCATATCCTGTTTCAATTCCATCTGCTTCACTCTCACCAGCCTCTGTTTACTGCTCGTGATGCTAAAAGCTAACCGGAAGAAAGCCGGCATGAAAAAGGGACCTGAAACCTGAAAACTAGTTGAACACCTATGAAAATTCAAACGATATTACTGATGTCATTAAGTGTTCCAACAGGAAGTGACATCACTAAAGCCATTTGGCCTCAGCAGTCTGCTTAGAAACATTCTGGACCTTCTGCTCATGTTGTTTATTAATGCTGTCAATCAGAAGCAGAAAAAAAGTCTCTGGAAAATATTTTAATATTAGATCAGAATAAAATAAAAATAGAATTATGTTTAGAGTTTTTATTCTTTTTTTGCTTTTTGTATTTTTGCTATTTTTAAAAAAGTTGAATAAATGATTGAATCCATCGTCTGTAAATATCTTATCTACAATTTGCACAATCTCCAGCGTTGTCTACGGCAAGCCCTAAGGCTCAAAAATGCAGCGTATGTGCCTGAGGCTTTGGGGAGAACTGGTTTTCCCTCAGGTCAAATATCAAATGACTGAGACGTCACCTGATGCTCCTGAAACAATAAACACAAGTTGTAACTCAGGCTTTGCTGTCTTTACTCTGTCAGAAATGACCTCAAGATCAACGGAGAACCTAAATGTGTTTTGGGGGCTTTGATGTTGTTGTTTGGATTTTGGGCTCTTTTTATGGTCAGATAAAGACTCAAATGGAGATTTCTCTTTTTCTCAGCCTTCATCAACCTTTCTGTCATCTGCTCCATCCCATGTTTTGGTCTGATTGTGTCTTTACGTAGAAATAAAAGAGAAAAGAGCAAAACACAACAGGCTGTTAAGAGACACCAGAATGAAGACAAAACTGTGCTAATGAGATCATTTCATCAGAGCAGAATGACAAACACAGCCTCAACAACTGCTTTGATCTATGAATGAATGCCGTTTAGTGAGAGGACACCTCAGGAACCTTCTAGAAGCTCCTGTGAGAAGATGACATAGAAGTTGTTGCCTTTTGTCTTAAACATGTCAGAAGCTTTAAAAAGGCAGAATTTCTGCTTTGTTCCAGTGTTTTCTCTGATCAGGTCTTTATTTTGGACCACATGGGATTTTCTCTCCTGTCCTTCTAGAAATCTGATCTGGATTCTTTCTGTAACTCAGACTTTACTGAAGCGTTTGTCCTGTTGGATTCTGGGTTAGACGACTGCAGCGCTCTAGACTCTGCTTTAAATCAGTCAGATCTCCATCACCTGTAGATGACCCAGAATGCAGCAGCTCACATGTAGACAGGTAGGAGACGGCGCCACCACATCACTCCTGTATGGCCTCTTTACACTGGCTTCCTGTTAGTTTCATCCTTCAGTTCAGGAGGTTTTAAGACTCTTCAAGGAAATGAAATGTGTCTGATTAGCTGCAGCATCATGATCCAATCAGAGCGCTGAGGTCAGCATCTCAGCTGCTTCTGGATGTCCCCACCATCAAATGAAACACAACAGCTGATGGAGCCTTTTGAGTAAATGCCTCTAAATTATGGGATGTTCTGCCTTTCCAGACCAGAGCAGAACCACTTTATGATTCATCAAACAAGCCAGAGGTGAAGAAACTAAAGCAGGTAAACGTCTCAGCAGCTCTGCAGTCACAAGTTTAACTTTGATAAACCGTCCCAGTTTCCTAAAAGCAGTTCACACAACACCTCCACGCTGCTCCTGGTGTGCTTTTGTTGGTGTTCTGTGTGAAAGTCCAGAGGTGGAATGGGCTCTCCAAGCTGATCCTCCACTAATCCACCTGAGAGCCAACAGAGGTAGTCACAGAGCTGAGTAGGTGAGTGTGCAGTGGGAGACAGCAGGTGTAGTGTTGTAGGATTTTATTAGAGACTTATCACACAATGAGAAAACAGTCCTGGATTCAAGCTTTTAATTCTGACGACAATAAGAAGAAACAAAGCAGGAAGCATAAAGATCATTGCTAAGATCTGGAACCAACACTTAGTAGCAAAGTCAACGTTAATCTAAGTGAAACGATGACGCCTCATGAAACTAAACTAAAGAACAATATAAAAGTCAAATAAAAATAAGTAAAACAAACATTGTAAGATATCTCCAACAAGCTGTAACAGTTGCTTTACCTAAAAGGACAACAGAACCCACTCAGAACACCTGAATGATGGATTACACCAGTGGTCTCTAACCTTTTATGGTCCGTGAGCTACTTTTACACAATATAAGAACCGAACAGCTACTGCCATACGATTTATTCACATTAATATTTTCCATGTGTGAATATCCTTATGTTAATAATGCTATACTAACTATATTAACATGCATTGTATTCACAAGCAGATTTTTCTATACATCAATATTATAAAATAATTACAAGGAAAATAGTGACATTCTGAAAATCAAACAAAGCTTTTTATTTATTACCTTTTCAGATACTTTCAGACAATGAATAACTAATCTACTTCATGTGAATTATTTCATCTTTGGTTTTTCAGAACGGATCAGTAACAGAACCTTTTGAGCACACAGGAAAAGCTAACCTGTTCCTGTTCAGTCGCTGACCCTGAGCCCTGTCCAGAACCTAAGAAGCCATGTCAGTTTTTCATAGTTTGTCATAAATGAACAAATACTTACAGAAACTATCGAATGCCTTTTAAATAAAATTTTCTATTATTTAAAAGGCATTTACTACAAAAGTTTTCAAGTAATTGTTTTGTTATGATTATTTTTTCCAAACAATGCAAAACTAATTGTCTTATAAAATGAATAAAGCTGAAGTTTTTTTTAAATTAAATACAAGCTAAATGTGATGAAAACACAAATTAAATAGTTTGAACTGGAGTGAAAAATGTAAAAAAAGAAAAGAAAAAAGAAAACATGTCTTCCTGCATTCCTGATTTATTGAATAACTTTTATAGATTTTTTGCTCATGAAAGTTAAGTTTTGCTTCACTGTTGAATAACTGCAGGTAAATTATGCTTAGCTGCATTTAATGCTGACAATATTAAGGTTGGAGATTTTGTTAAAGGTGTAGTTTGTTTTTTTGTCCCCACGGGTCTGACGGCTGTGCACACAGAGCAGAGAGAGAGAGAGACAACTATTGGCTGCTCCCTGAACAAAGTAAAAGGTTACATTGTGTTTGGAGCACGCCATATCTATAGTTCCCTCTTGTATTGCCACATTACTAAATGGGACAATCAGCTGTTGAAGGAAATTTGTTGGAACTAAATCACAGGAGATGTCCACAGTTTGGAAGCCTGAGTGTTTATCATGTGTTCATAAATGGACGGCATTTAATTTGCATTAACAAGGTGTTACTGCAGATTAGGGATGTCCCGAAACAACTTTCTTCACTTCCTATACGATACCGATATTGCAGCCTTCAGTATTGACCAATACCGGCATAAATTTGATACGATATCAGCACAAATCACGCATATTTTTAGCTATTTCATAGTGTGGAATGTATAAAGGACTTCATCAAGTGATATCATTCAAACAGAAAACGAAAGCCAGCAAAAAATCACGTAACAATAACCTGTAAAACAAATTAAAACTAGAAGCTAATAATAAAATGTTTACATAGAAGATTAAAAATAATTCACCTTTGCTACAGATAAGGCTTCACGTCAGCCTGGACAACTGCATTGTTGCAGACCACTAAATCAGTCTGACAGCCAATGTCTTGGGTAGATTTAGCCTGAGAAAAAAAAGAAAAGCACATTGTTGTTGGAGTTTATAAAGTCAGATAATATACAAAAGAAACTGTCCTATATAGGAGCTTTATAACATTCCTAGTGTGTGATTGTTATTATAACGTAAAAGTCAGTCACATATGATATGGAGAGCCTGAAATGCGACCTCCTGAACAGAATTCCTCACGGAACCGGGTCACAAGCTCGATTTCACGCTGTAATGTTGTCTGTCAACTAGTGCTGTGTTAGTTAGAGCCACTGTTGCAGAATTACCGACTGACACAAAAGCAACCCGAATTTTCTCCGAGCCTCACAGTAATAGTCATGTGGACCGTTTTGTCGGCCAGGGCTTCGAGATATGTTTCGATTCGCCGCTGATTCTAACCTTACATCCCGTTCCACATTTTGTGAACTTGACAAATCTGCCCGAAGGCAGCGCAGGCTGATATTAGCTAAATGGAGTGAACCACGTCTCTCAAACTTTGCATTTAGGTAGGGAATTGTCTTTAGAAGATGTTAAAACTTTTTAGCTTACTCACCTCAGACTGGAGCCCGCCATGGTGGGGGAGCAGAGTCGGTGGGCTGCATCTAAATCGCGGAAGAGCCACGGTGGGCACAGCCTCCCTCTTCAAACGGAGACGTGCAGAATCGCGGGTAAAATGCTGGTTGCAAACTACAGCACCAGGCGGGAGCTGAATGTTTTCCAGACACCGATTGCGTGCAACCACAGGCGCCTAATGTCTAAGTCCAGCGGAAAGGAGTGCAACCCCACAGAGCCACCGCAACCACACTACACTACACCTTCTCACCATACTAACACGATATGGAGCACTAAACCTGAACTACTATCCTAATTACACTAACAGCCAAACACTAACTAAACTACAATATTCAACAGCAAACCTAACACTAAATAAGTATGTATAACCCAGACTGGTGATTGTTGGTGATTTTAACATCCACATTGATGGTCCCTCTGATCACTTTGCCATGAATTTCTCCAGGCTAATGGACACCTTCGGCTTTACCCAGCATGTTTCTGGCCCCACACACACCAGGGGGCACACTCTAGACCTCGTTTTTATCCTGAGTCTAAATGCTGACAGTGTTTGTCCTGAGGACGTTTATATTTCAGATCACCATTGCATTTGTTTTAACTTGTCAGTTTCTGCGTCCCCACCTCCTGCTCGCCGTATGGTTAGTTCTCTTTTTCTTAATGAGAGCACAGCTAGCAATTTTTCTGCTGCTTTTGATCCACCTTGTTCTTCTGATAACGGCCCAGATTCCTTAACTTCTCAGTTTAACGAGCACTGCCTCTCCATTCTGGACAACATCTGTCCTGTCAGAACCAGATCAGTTCCTGCAGTGAACCCTACTCCCTGGTTTAATGACAGCCTTCGCAGCCTGAAGCGCCAATGCAGAAAAATTTTGCGTTTGTGGAAGAAAATTCATCTCCATGTCCATCTGCTGCACCTAAAGGATCTTCTGACATCCTTTAACTCTGCAGTCAGAGATGCAAGGGTTTCCTATTTCTCCAACCTGGTGTCCCAGAGCAAAGGGAACCCCAAGGTGCTGTTTAACACCATCGGCAGCATTGTCTCTCCTGCTACTCCTACAGCCTCCATCCACTCTGTTGCAGACTGTGAGAACTTGTCTTTCTTTGTGGACAAAGTCAATAAGGTTAGATCTAGCATCTCTCCTTCAGCTTTATCGCCGCCTCTCCCGACTCCAACCAGGCCCATCATCCTAGATAGCTTTGCTCCTGTTTCTTTGCCTGAGTTAAACAAACTAGTTAACTCTATGAAGACCTCTGCATGCCCCCTCGACATCTTACCCTCATCTTTGTTTAAAAGTGCTTTTCAGTCCATCGGTCCCAGCGTGCTCTCTATATTTAATGC